CCCCCCCCCCCCCCCCCCCCCGTTATTTATGGTAGGCCCCTTGATAGCTTACAAACTGGCTTAACATTACACTTACGCTGATACAAACTGCATAGAGAGATAAATTATTCTAACAAAAATATTGTCCAGCACACTACCACATGTCCATTATAGCAGCATTTCCCAAACTTTTAAGTTTCAAGGACCGGTGGACAAGTTTCGAAACTGGACCAGGGACCGGTGCCAGATTTATTTATTACATTTTCTTTCTATTTAAACATCAATATTCATGCTCTCCGGACCGATAACGTAAGGCTTGCAGGCCGGTGCCGGTCCACCGTTTGGGGAACGCTGCATTATAGCACTACCACGAATGTCATCCATACTTATAGTATAGCACTATCACAAATATCAAGACTAGCACTACTACCTTCCAGCATGGTGTATCATCCTTCAGACCTCTTGATTCCCATTGGCTGTTTAATTGCAAAAATCTGAGCAATCAAAAAAAAAAATTTGTCAAGAAACCAGCAAAAGAACGGTAAGTATCTGTAACAAATGAGAGTTTGAATATTGATTGTGTTAACGTACACAAAATTATATTTTGTAATCATTGCTGATTGGCATCTTAAAAGTTTTGCAGTAAAAAATTGTTCTTTGACTTTGATATTTGACATTATTTTTTTTTAGAATCTTTCTTGAAATTCTTAGGAAGAAATACTGGTTTTTTAATATTTAAAAAAAAAAATTATAAAAAAAACATTCATGATCTTGTCCACCAACCTGATGGCAGTTTTGATTAACTTTTCAATAGAGTGAAATCCCTTAGGTTTACCAGGTGGCAGAGACTTCAGGGAATAAGTTCGTTCTTCCAGCTGCAAAACAAAACTTGAGTTAGGGATAAAATTGGAATACAAATATTTACAGTTACGATTAGAAAGTTACTGGCAATTAGTTTGTCCCTTATTAAATAAATCATTTTTTTAAAAACATACATTGATGTTTAGTGCTCTGCCAGTATACAGAAATTTTCATAGTAGTAGATTAGAATCAGACTAGGAATAAAGTGTTGATGAAAGGCTTTCTGCAGATATGTTTGTTGTTTTGTGCAAGATTTAGTACATCTTCTTCCAGTTACTAAAACATACAGATCAATATTAATTAGTTATCTTTTAGTCATTCCACAAACCTGGTCCCCCATTAAAATATAATGGGTGAAAAAATGTGCCTTGACACCCTGTGAGACCAGGACACTACCATCCCCGGGGTAAACTTCAATAGTTGTCATCTGACTGCACTGTATCAAGCTTGAATTTTTAAAAGAAAGTTATTTTAATTTGAAATGTTAACTGAAATATAAATATGTAATTACATTTTTTTTATCCAATAGCATCTTAGGAACAAATTTGAATGTTTAAAAACTTTTCCCAATCAAGGGAGGGGTGAAAAATGGTTGAGTGTTACACAGTTCATCCGTGAAGTCATTATCAAAACAAAAAGGGGGGGGGGAACAATTGGTGGATGCCACAGGGCTATGTAAAAGCAAAATTAGGTCAACACACAGGCCATAACAACCTAAAGAAAAAAAAAAACAATTTATTTTTAATTTCTGTGTGCAAATGTGAAATTAAAATAATTATTGTAAATAACATTATGTATTACTCATAACTTCCATTTTCAAACTTTTAGCTATTTAAGGCCATTTATATACACAAGGCCTAACAGTGCAACCGTCAATATGAATGTGGCAACTGGTCGTAAAGCTTTTCATGAAAGAGATTAATTTGGATTTGTTAGGGAAAGTGGTATAGTTCATGAATTTCAGAGTTGTACCTAGTAATTTATCAATTAATAAATAAAATAAATTACTGCACAAAATAATACAGTAAAACCTCCGTTTTGAGATCCTCTCTTTAACGACTTTCTCCAACATACGACCGGAAAAAAATTCATCAATGCCTTGTACTATATAAACGACCTCTCTTAAACGACTTCCTCTAAAACGCGACTTGCGACCTTCAAATAATTCAATTTTACAATCTAGCACCTGAAAAAGTTAGATTCTAAAGCATGCTATATTTATGTGCTTGTCACTGTTTTTAGCGACATTCAGGCTTCTTCTTCCCATGTAGATAACCAGCTCAGTGACACTGAGAATGTGAAAGATGAATAACCACCAATCAACTTCTCCACTGCCTTGAAATACTCCAAGAAGCTGACCAGATTTCAGATTTGCCCTGAGCAGAGGCCTTTCAAACCTTTCCGACAATGTCTGGTGTTCAAAGTAACATACTAAAAGAACATGCATAAATAGTTATAACTCTAAGCATGCACTCAGCACTTACACACGCTTTTAAACAACTACCATATCAGCATTGATTTTTTATTTTGGAATTGATGAGGAACAGGAAGATAGTGACTGCATTGGTCGTGAGACAGAGTTTAATCTATATTTCTGAAAGAAAGATGATAGATATTGCCTATGATTAATAGCACATGTACTTTTTTGTATTTATTTTGTTTACTTAATTTTCTAAATGTCATTTTACAATGATCTTCTAATATTAACATTCACAATTAACAGCCTACCGATAGACAATTCCTTCTGAGATGACAACTTTTAATTTTCCATGCTGGAACTCCCCTGCTGAGCTTTCTTCCTTTGATTCACCAAGAACTTCAGGACCCCATTTATGTTTGTGTTGAAACGGGCAAGTTTCTGGCAAGGGAGCAGGGACAGGAGTTAAATTGCAATTTTTGCTGGACGCCTTCCATGTGGTTCCAGCTGTCTGCAGTCTTTTCAAAGTTGGTTGAGATGAAATGCTGTCCTCAGCTATACAAAAAAAAAATTAGTTAACTAGGAATAATCTTTTTAAAAAAATTAAATTTTCAATGGGGAAAAACAATTTGGGCTTATCTGGAGCATTCATCAAGCATTAAAAAAAAACAAAAACTCATATGATAACAAAAAGTATGACTAGTGAACTATCTCTGCACTTCAACAAATCAATGAATCTATGTATAAGTTATCTAAGTCAGCAGTATAAATGCTATTTCCAGGTATATTGCGTAGGTAATAATAATATTGACACATCCCTCATGGAAACTTCAGTCACCTGTAAATGGACTCCTCAAATTTATTCTAGTAATTTAAACAACATTATTCAACCTTTAAAATCAATTTTGCAACTTACTTATCAGGTTTTTTGCCTCAAGGGCTATCCTCAGAGGAAGTGTCCACTCTTTAGGACAGTCATTCCTTGAGGCATGTTTAGTTGTCCAGATGTAATGCCTCCTTGACTGGCTCTCTTCTTCTACCTGATCCCTCCCAGGGATGACAACAGCACATCCCTCTTGGATATTAGATGTTAAATAGCCTTGGCTGGCACTTTTCATCTCCACTTTTAATTTTCCTACTTCTGACCAGTCTGCTGGCTCATTAGAGTCAAAATCAAGCTTCGATGGGCCAAGGGGGGAAATAATGTCAGCAAGTTCACCATTTCTATTTTTTGGTGCTTTATTTTTAAGCTGTTGTGGATTCTCAAAGATGGTACGCTGAACCTCTAAACTGTCTGCTGAAATGGTACCAGAGCTATTACTTTGGGAAGAAGTGTTCATTAAGCTCTTAATTCCTAACTCATTACACCGGTTTGGTGAGCGCAGAGCTTCATTGCTTGGGGTGGTCTCCTTCTGATTGCCAAGAAACGAGCCACTCAGGGACTCTTCATTCTTATCAACTGATTTGTTTTTCTTTTTGGGTTTCTGACAACCAAAGTTTTCATTGGGGCTCGATGTGTAGTGTGCAGGAGGGCTGTGTTTCAGCCTGAAGGCCGTTGGATGACCATGAGAGTTTTCTGTGTTGTCATGCATCAGTGTTGTGTCTGTGTCAATGGTTGTTCGAAGTCCATCGGGTGTTGATGACCTGCTGATGCTGGAAAGCTCGTGTGCATTGGGTGAATTAATGGGAAATGGAACAAGTGGTCTGTGTCGATATGCCTGGATGGATGAATCAATTTCCAGGTGTTCATTGGAAACCTTGTTAGAGCTTTGATGACAAGTTCTGACATGTGGTGAAAAGTCAGGTAAATGTGCATGAATTTCTGACAGTATTTCAGATACTTCATTGGTGCATCCAGGTGGCACCACAGTATTTTTGCTGCTTATATTAGCTTTATTGCATAATGTATTTTGATGCAGAATTTTGATGTCACAATCTTTACTTTTGTCAGGGTCACTTTTAAGTGTGCTCCCAATTTGCAGATCTTGCATTTCAGCATGAACTTTTGAAATAAAAACTGGGTCATATGGAGTCGAAACAGGTGCAACTTTAAAGGGGTGTACAACTGCCTCAGCAGGTCGGACAACACTGACTCTGCTGCAGGCTTCTCTTTGCTTCCGTCCAGTTTCATCAGTGGATAAAAGGGTACTTGAAGAAGAGTTTTGGAAATTGGTTGCAATTGACATTGTTTCTCTGTTCTTTCTTACCTCTGAACTAGTTTTGGACAAATAGCAGACAGTAAAATCTTGGCCATGAGGGGAGATGACTAAACTGGCATATTCATCAAGTGAAGTGATTCTCCGACTGCCATCTGGGAGAATCTCAATCTTGGCATCCTCTGCTTGTTTAGGCCAGGCAATATTATCAATTTGGGCATAAAGTAACTGAAATAAATTTTCATAATTAGTTAAGGATCTTCACAGATGATAAAAATCCAAAAGTTGATTTTGAAATTGATTATAATTTGTTGGATTTTTATTATTAAAAAAAAAATCATGTTGAGGTGGCATTTAACTGGTTTATGACTGCAACATAGTGAAATTTAGGTTTTCAAATCAATGTAGTCATATATAAAAAAAGCCTGTTTAGAGGTCCTAGTCCGATGGTAATTTTCATAAATATAGAGCAAATGGGAGAAATATTTGCAGAATAATAAAATCAGGCTCAAAGATGAAGGAAATTTGTACAAAAGAAATTTTATTTAATGGAAAATTGTTAGACTGAAGTTTGTTAAAAAATTGAAATTGTTAAGCAGAGATTTATTCAATTATTTTAAAATAATTTTAAAGGGAAAAATGGGAAAATTCATTTTGAAAAAACTGAAGTTCGAACAAATTCCTTTTATACAATATTCCAGGTTGGTCTTAGCGGTAATGCACCTTTGGGTCTGATTCTTTTATTGTGCAAATATTTTTCCCATTTCGTCTAAAATTTATGCAAAAAATTTAGAAGAAACTTCAGTTGAAAGAAACTTCTGTCAAAAAATTTACAATCGAATTAACTTCAGTCAAACAAATTTCTTTTGTACAAATTTGTGCAAAAATTAAAACAAATTATAAGAATGTAGGTTAAAAAAAATATCTAAATAAAAGCATAAATATTGTAAGTAATTACAAAAAACCTTTTGTAATTACAACAAAAAAATAAGATTTTTAAATAAAATGCAATTGCCTATTAATACAATTAAAAATATGGCACTGATAATCAGTTCCCACAGAAAAAAAAGTTTCATCCCTAATAAATATTCTGCACATATTCCCCATTGTATGGCACGAATTTAATTCCTCCTGTGTAAAATGCTTTTATTTATTTATTTTTTTGCTTATCAAGACTTATCAAGGATATCTCATGAGTATTTTTGTGTGTGTTGCATTTAGATTTTCCATTTAGTTTACAAATAATTAGTAGTGAATACTGGTTGTGTTAAATTTTACATTATGTCAACACAGAGTTTAAAAATTAAAATTTAAAAAAAAGCGGATGCAAGGACACATAGCATTACAGATGCAAACAATTAATTACCAGGATATCCTCTTTGGGCAGGAGCTCTTCACACAAGTAAGGTCTCTGAGCAAACCTGTTTCTGAAGTCTAAGGCCTGTAAGACTTTACTTCTAAACTCACTAGTCACATACATAGTGCGCTTTTGAAACCTCTTAGAAATTTCTATAGGAAATAAGAAGAAATTTACATTTTTTAAAAACCTATTTAGTTGCAATGCAAGTCAGAAAAAAGCTGGATAAACATTATCCTTTATTTTCTGAAATCAACTTTTTTCAGTTAATTATTGCAGCAGGACAGTTAATTTTGTTTTGCTTCTTACCATGTCTTGGGTGATGTCTTTTTGTTAAAACATCATAATGAATCATTGTGGTGCCACATGGCGAGAGCTCCAGACGAGAACCATCTGAATATTTGATCTCAACAGCATCGCTGCTGTACAGGATCATAAGCATTGGTACAGTTTCCATAATATTGTACCTGTATCAAACAAATGGAAAGAAACCACTTAATCGATTTCTTCAGGAGGGGGGACTCACCAAATTGCGGATCTAACAATAAAAAAATCCCAGGCAAGTAGACATATACGTAACTAGGAATCAATATTAATAATAAGCCAATGTGGCATGACCAAGGCCTAGTTCTATTTTAAAAAGTTTACCAAAGATTTTTCTTTTTTTTTTAAATTACACAATTTAGACATCAACAAATAAATTATTAACATATTTTAAAGTGCAACAGTTGGAAGCCTACTGAACTTCTGTATTACCTGCTGGTGGGGGAATTCAGTGCTCCTCAATAATCAGCGATTAAATAGATTTATCAAGAAAGCAAATAATATCAATATCACTCAAACAAAACTACCTTTGCTTGAAGAACTATTTGAAGCAATATGCATTTGTAAAACAAAACATTGAGCACAGACATCCCACTTACTTCATTACAGATATCTAAGATCAGCTGGATTAGGGCTAATTCTTTCCCTAAAAGAAATGAACTAAAGATATAAAAATCAGATTTTCTGCCATTACAAGTTGTTTCTGCCAGCAGTAAATGTTTTTTTCTGGTGAACTTTGTTTGTGCATTAAGTGTATTAATAATATTTTTATTGTTCCTACAAATTTATTTAGAGAAATAAAATGCAATAACCAATTTTTTTAATTATTATAACTTTTTTTTTAGAATTGGATTCCACTAGATCTATAATTTATGCATGTGACTGGGGGGGGGGGTTGCTAAAAATGTTTTGAAATTGAGAGGGAATGCAGCGTTGTGAAATGGTCAAGGATCCCTGCACTAGAACATTTACTAAAATCACCACCTCCCCCTCGGCATGCTCAGTCAACCATTTGTACTAGTTCCATCCCCCTTCATGAACGTGGTATCCCTAATTCTATACTATGATTTCCATCTCAACATTTCAACATAAATTCTGACAGCTGTCAAAGTCCCTACACTGCGATTCTACTCCTCCGTGGTAGCCTGTAGCTTGATCAGATGCCATTTCTCTAAACCCGCATACCTGTGCTGATTCTTCCACTGATCGTTGTCGTTGTTTGAAAATAAAATAATTATTGTCTAAAATTATAAGATTAATTGATGTTTAAAATCAAATTGTCTTAATTTAGTGTTAATAAGTTTATTTTTTTACTATTTATTCCCTTAATTAATGTGACTTCACATTCTGACATTTATAAAATGAAACTCTAAATGAGCTTGTTTCACTTTCTTTATAATATTTACCCAATCAGCTTATCGCGCCATCCGCCATTTCGGCTTGCCTAGATACATGTTGGTACAGGAATAACTTTTCAAAGCTGAAGAGTTACTCTAAAGTTTTAACCATTAATTAAAAAACAACGCTCTAAACAAGAACTAACACGGAATAAAATTAATTTTAACTAGTTTGAATAATATATGAGGCGATTTATTATTTTAGCATATCTAAGTAATTTTCATTTGCATGCAAAAAAAAAAAAAAAAAAAAAATTGCTTGCAGGACTATTCTATTAATTTTTTAAAAAATCATCTTTTGAAGTTAAGTGCTAACATTATTTATTTTCTTTTTTAAAGCTTTTAAACAAATCTAATCGATTATAGAATTAAATTACAAACTACTGCATTAAAAAAAAAAAAAAAAAAAAAAACTAAAGGTAGGTAACTCCAACGTTATATAAAATTTACAACTATGTCAGTCTATGTCCACTCTGTCTATGTCCACTCTGATAAACGCACTTCCGCGAATAATGAAGCCATACCCCCCCCCCTCACACACACCAGTGTCCTACTTGAATACTACCAGTGGCCTACTAATGTGCTACCAATGGCCTACTTGTATTATAACATTAGCCTACTTGTATGCTATCAGTGGCCTACTTGTATGCTACCATTGGTCTACTTGGATGCTACCAGTGGTCTACTTGGATGCTACCAGTGGTCTACTTGTATGCTACCAGTGGCCTACTTGGATGCCACCAGTGGCCTGCTTGTTTACTATCAGTGGCCTACATATACACTTTCAACGTTGAGAAATCAGGTTACTGCATGAAACCGGAAGGCTGCGCATGATGGGACTAAACCAACAACTCACTCAATAATGAACGTCACTTCGACTCGGGGGCGAACCGAAGAAACAAAGCAGACGCACGCCCCAACCACCCTTAAAGAATTCCACCGAGGAACGTTATGTTTATACATGTCATCAGTGGTTCATAGGTGTGTCAAATGACAGGCTGGGGGCTACTAAACAAAGGGGTGGGGCTCATTCCCCGATGGACCCCCTCAACAAAGAGCTGAGACTCACCCCCCCCCCACTCCACTCCCAACAGCCCCGGCCCCTACTACTGTATTCTTCATTGAGCTGGCTGTCAGTGAGAATACTATCTCGAACTTATTATTTTAAAAAAAGTAAATAACTGTTGACCAAAGGGATAGACACATATTCTGTTACGAGATAGGACACCCAGCCACAAATGTAATGAGCATACACTATTTTTTTGTGTGGGTCAAAGGGAGGGCAGGGCGGTGTAGGTAAGAGTGTCTCTTAAGGTAACTTTGTCTCCTGGAGTATGACACCGATTCCGAAAAATGACGTTACAAAGATTTTTTTTTTTAATTATCTAATGCTCAATTCACATGATCAAATTTTTGTCAAATTGGCTTCAAATTTCTTTTTGAACGCGCTAGTTTGTTTTACTAAAGAGTGCGTTCAAAAGGATATTTGACGAAAAATATTTGATCGTGTGAACTGAGCATCAGGATAGGAAAAGCCATGAATCTTTGTAGACATCGTTTCCTGCTGAACGGGGCTCATTATCTGACAGTTTAAGGACTCCAATAATCCAGCCGAGCAAGGTCAAATCTCAACGCCTTGGTCGGCATTAAATGAAAAATCCCCAGAGGTCGTCTGCCCCTAGGATGCCGGTTTGACAGACAGGCTCTACAGATAGACGAGTTGTCTGCCCGCTTCATTATGCAAACAGACTTGAGATGAAGGAGGGAAATTATGTTGGCTATCTGGGGGAGAGGGGGGGGGCGGGAGCATTTAGACCATGGAAGTAGAATACGGACACTTCGTCCAACTAGAAAAATCGAAAAATTGGAGGGATATCAAAGGAAGATGCTAGTGATGCTCAAAGTGTTAGATGCTGGAGGATGTTGTGGATGCTAAGGAGATGTAGGGGATGTTGGGAGGATGTTGTGGATGCTAAGGAGATGTAGGGGATGTTGGGAGGATGTTGTGGATGCTAAGGAGATGTAGGGGATGTTGGGAGGATGTTGTGGATGCTAAGGAGATGTAGGGGATGTTGGGAGGATGTTGTGGATGCTAAGGAGATGTAGGGGATGTTGGGAGGATGTTGTGGATGCTAAGGAGATGTAGGGGATGTTGGGAGGATGTTGTGGATGCTAAGGAGATGTAGGGGATGTTGGGAGGATGTTGTGGATGCTAAGGAGATGTAGGGGATGTTGGGAGGATGTTGTGGATGCTAAGGAGATGTAGGGGATGTTGGGAGGATGTTGTGGATGCTAAGGAGATGTAGGGGATGTTGGGAGGATGTTGTGGATGCTAAGGAGATGTAGGGGATGTTGGGAGATGATAGGGATGTCGGGATGATGTTGTGGATGTTAAGGAGATGGAGGGGATGTTGGGAGATGATAGGGATGTCGGGAGATTAAGAAATGCTCGGATTTTTTGGAGGATGCTAGGTCTATGTGAGAGAATTAGATATGGGAGAGAAGCTAAAAGATACTAGGGATGGTGGGACATTTTGACATGCTAGGGGACGATGGATGCTGCTGTGGCAGCTGGTAGATGCTAAAGATGATTTGGGGGGGGTGGGTATGGTGAATCTCTTATAAATGCCATAAGTATGCAAACCTAAAAACATATTTACCAGCAATGTGGAAATGATATCTATAATGATTGCTTTCAGTGTGGTGCTACGAGTTAATGGGGTTTTGTTGTTGTTGAGTTGAAGATTTGACAAAAAGGGTATGAAACTATTTTTGTATAAAGTAGGCCTACACACACGTCAGCTTGTATTCTGGTTAAATATAATGAAAATAGAATCCCTTCTACACATGCACCGGTCAATAGATGAAGATTATTTAACATAAATTAACGTATTTAACGATGCAAGATTGATTTATTCTATATGATGTGGCATACCATCAACGCCAAGTCTGCGCTGATATAACTTGGTGATATTTGCTGGTAATGATGTTTTTTTTTTTTTTTTTTTTTTTTTTTGGGGGGGGGGGGGGATGTTTATAGCCCAATAATACTAGGACTGCTGACGAAATTGTAATTTATCTGTGTCAGCCAATCCAGCTCAAGGTTCTCGCATTTAAGATAGGATAGACTGAAATCAACTCATTGCACGGTAGGTAGGGCCTTGGATTTTTAGAGCCACTGGCCCTAATTGTGTCTCATTTTGAATACGGTAGTTATTTGTTGCTGTCTGTGTTATTATGGATATGTGTGTTTGCGTCTTTTCCTGAGATTATGTAGTGTAGAAGAAACGCATTTCGTGCACTGGGAAATGCCTGGATCC